TGTTGCTGAGATAAAATATCCTGGCAAAAGCATCTTAAGAACACAACAAAATAAAATTCTTCATTATATGGTAAATCAGAGGACTAAGATGAGGCCAGGGAACCTGTAGAGTGGATGGGGACACTGGGACAACCCTGATTTTAAAATTTAGTACAAAATTACAGAACATGGCCAGGCATGATGATGCATGCCTTTAATCTCAGCACTTGAGAGGCAGAGGCAAGAAGATTTCTGAGTTCGAGGTCAGCCTGGTCTACAGAGCGAGTTCCAGGACAGCCAGGGCTACACAGAGAAACCTTGTTCAAAACAAAACAAAATTAATATCAAAGCTGTTAAAAACAAATGTAAGCCCCAAAATATAAAACTCTCAAACTCTTTTTTTAATGAAATAGTTTTTCAGACTAGATGCCAAAACAACAAAATTGTCATCTTCAGAATAAAAACTCTGTGCTGAAAAGGACACTTAGAGAGAGAGAGAGAGAGAGAGAGAGAGAGAGAGAGAGAGAGAGAGAGAGAGCTCAGTGGTTAAGAGCACTTGCTGCTCAGAGTGAGGACCTGCCCCTGTGGTGACTCACAACCACCTCTAATTGCAGTTCTATGGGATCCAAGGCCCTCTGTTTCCCTTAGGCACTGCACATAGATTTATGTGCAGACAAACCAGTCATATTAATAAATTTTAAAAAATTAAAAAGACAGGAATAAAAAATGGCTGGAAAGGTGGCTTAGCCATTAAGAGGGCTTGTTGCATTGCAGACCCAAGTTCAGTTCCCAGCACCTGCTTCATATAATTCGCAACCACCAGTAACTGCAGTACTAGGGCATACAGTAGTACACTCTTCTGCTTTTCAAGGATATCCACACACTCAGTCTTTTTTATATTAAAAAATGATTTAAAGAAAGCAAGACAAGCACTAAGCAGTGGGGCATAGCTCCCTTGGCAGAGTGCTTGCCTAGGATGTGTGAATTCCATGTTTCATCCCCAGCATGCACAAACTAGGTGATGGGTGCACAACTGTAATCCCAGCACTCCAGAGACAGAAGGGTAAGAAAGTCAAGTTCATCCTTGATGACATAGTGTAGACTAGACTACATGAGATGAGAGAGAGAGAGAGCTCAAGTAATAGAATAAAAACTTTGCAAGTTACGTATCTCTCGGGGATGTTTATGTACAATATATAAATAACTCAACAATAAAGACACAAAGCAGTGTTAAAATGGATGGAAGCACTGAGTAGACATTTCTACAAAGAGGGTACACACATGGCCTATGGCAAGTCTCATCAGCTATCAGGGCAATGGACATCTAAACCACAGTAGGATGCGACTTGACACACACCAGGATGACTGCCATCAGAAAGATAAGTGACAGGCGATGGAGCAACAGCTCAGTGGACAAAAGCATGGGCTGCTCTTCTAGAGGACCTGGGGTTCAGTTCCCAGTATCCATATGTTGGCTCACGACTATCAGTAACAACAGGTCTAGGGAATCTGCCCTCTCCTGGCATCTGCAGGCACCAGTCATACGCACGCACATGTGTGCACACACACACAGATAGATATATGTGATTGCAAAACACATACACAAAATAAAATAAAATAAACAATAAGAAGACAGGTGACAAGCACTGAACAAAGAATATGGAGATTCACTGCTGGTAAGAATTTAAAAAGTGCAGCCTCGCCAGGTGGTGGCACCACGTCTTTAATCCCAGCACTTGGGAGGCAGAGGTGGCCGGATCTCTGTGAGTTCGAGGCCAGCCTGGTCTACAGAGCGAGATCCAGGACAGTCACCAAAACCACACAGAGAAACCCTGTCTCGAAAAAACAAACAAAACAAAACAAAAAGTGCAGTCTCATTAGGGAACAGATTAATAGAAATCAGAGAGAGGGGAAGGAGGGAAGAAAATTAAGCAGTAAGAGAAAGGCTTTTTGTTTGTTTGTTTGTTTGTTTGTTTGTTTGTTTGTTTTTCAAGACAGGGTTTCTCTGTGTAGCTTTGCTCCTTTCCTGGAATTTGCTCTGTAGACCAGGCTGACTTGTACTTACAGAGATCTGCCTGCCTCTGCCTCCCAAGTGCTGGGATTAAAGGCGTGTGCCACCACTGCCTGGCAGAGAAAGGCTTTTAAACACAATATATTTCTGTGTGACTGCAGGCATGCATGTGCCCCCAGTGCCTGTGGAGGTCAGAGGACCTGGGACTCGAGTCCTCACGTTCCACCTCGATGGGGACAAGGTGTTTCAGATAGCTTGCTGGCCCGCTTCTGCCTCCAATCTGATCACAGAAATGCTCAAATTAGAGACCTGTCACTGTGTTCTGGCTATCCACTCGGGTCTTCACACCTGCAGGACCAGTGCTTTACTGATGGGGACATCTCCCTAGCCCAAGAAAAGTCTTCCTAAATCTGGAAGACACACCAAGGGCCCCCAACACAGTGAGTGCGACTTCAGCACAGCCAAGGACAAACCGTGCGTGAGTGAGCCATTTTCACAGTGGTGGCTTCCTTGGCATTCTAAGGCATAACTGCAGGGTAAGATGCATGGTCTTTGAGCAGCTTCTGGTCTCAAAAGAGGTTTGTTTTGAGACCGGGTTTCTCTGTGTAGCCCTGGCTATCCCAAAACTCACTCTGTAGACCAGCTGGCCTTGAACTCATTAATGTCCACCTGCCTCTGCCTTCTGAGGGCTTGGGATTAAAGGCGTGCACCGTTACAGCCCGACTCCTCCAACTCCTCCAACTCCTCCTTAAAAGAGTCTAAGAAATACCATTTCATTCACAGGAAAGAAAAGGTAAGACATTGTGTGACATTTCCTGGGAGACATAAAGAAAAGGCTATTCGCCCCAGATAGAGAGGGCACCTACAGAAACAGACAGGAACTTCCTCCGAGTCCAGCCAGGCAAACCAGTTAGTGTATTGGCGGTACTTATAGGAGCATGGTGACTCTCAGGCAACTGCACCACCCCAGTCAACTGTTTACCTCTTTGTGCAGACCTATTTGGGGGGGGAGGGGCAGACAGGGTTTCTCTGTGTAGTTTTGGTGCCTGTCTTGGATCTTGCTCTGTAGACCAAGCTGGTCGCCAATTCACAGAGGTGTAGACCTCTAATATAGTGACCATTGGAATCCAGGGAGGGGAAGGGGTTCATGAGCATCCAGAGAGTCATGACCCTCCCCAGTCCCACTGTATGCCTGACCTACCAGGGTGGCATAGAGATCACCGTAGCTGCTCTGTAATGACCATGCCAACCCAGAGGACACAGCTGCACTAGACAGCCTTGGAATTTAGACAGTGTGGTGTACGGTGCCTGCCACTCTATGGGATTAGGAAGCATCAGGAGATAGGACAGCACAGCTCTGAGTGTGTTCTTTGCAGGGAGGGGTACCAGAGGGAGAAGACCGGCCCTGAATGAGGGTGGCAGCATTTGAAAGGTTGGGGGCCAGAACACAGTAAAAGAGATCAAAGGAAAAAGTTCAGTAACACAGGCCCCTCTGCCCTACCTCTTCTCTCTCCCTTCTGACCACCATGGTGTGAACTGCTGTGACCCCCCCACACACATCCATGACGGATGAAACCTCTGCAACTGTGAGCCAAAGCAAACATTTCTTGAAGTTGTTTTCCTTGGTGTTTGTCACAGTAGGGAAGATCACTCAGTCCACACACTTAGATTAATATGAATACTAAGACTTCAAAGACGACCACTGAGAGTGAAGACAGTGTAGACCAGAGTCAGTGACAGTGAAGACAGTGTAGACCAGTGACAGTGAGAGAGAAGACAGTGTAGACCAGTGACAGTGAGAGAGAAGACAGTGTAGACCAGTGACAGTGAGAGA